AAACGACATTCCGATGGCCACCACCATTCCACCCGGAAAGGAAAACTTTTGCGTTGGATCGACTTCCGCGTCGCGTGCCGCTCTCTTCCTTCGAACATTTGTATCCCGGCGTATAGGTGCGCTTTGCAGACAGAGACAAAGTCTATAAAAAGAAAAGAATTTATATAGTCGAAAAAAATGATGGCACGGAGAAAAGTACAGTTCCAGACTTTTAAAGCAATTTTTTTATTTTTTTAGTTAAAAGCGTTGAAATTTTTCTACGAATAAAAATCTGCGATTTTTTGTCGATCGAAATTTTCGAGCGGAAGTACGACGTAATTTATGATATATACGAGATCGCCGAGGAATTAATTTCTTTTTCAATAACAGTTTCGTGCCTCGCTGCGCACCGACGGTTTGGAACCATCAACGAGACTCCCAGGCTGCATTCTTTGCGGCTTGCGATCATCCGCCGGAAGTGGCCGAGAGTAGATGGACGCGTTAACGGGAGAAAGAAAGGGACAAAGGAGATTTGCCTGAGTCTGACCAAAGTTTAATATATTAGACAGGTGCAGATATATATCGTGCACGTATATAATACACATGTGGGAAAAATAGAAATATAAATTTTGTATTAAAAAAATATACAGGTTGTATAATATCTGAATAAGTGCAACAAATTTTAGATAATTCTTCGTCGAAAATTAAGAGTTTCTTATATAAACGTATATTTTTATATCTCTCCCTGAGGAGTTACACTTTTCTAAAGAGGGAGGTAAAAATAAATATTTTTCTCAAATTTCAGACAAATTGAAAAAATTAAACGGAAAATATTCACAAAGTTTCATTTTTTAATTTGTCTGAAATTTGAGGGAAAAAATAAAAACTTAATTTTGACGTCTCTCTTTAGAAAAGTGTAAATTCCTCAGGGGTATTAATTAATTTTTGTCAAAGAATCATCTCCTAAAATTTTTTGCACTTATTTAAATGCATCCGGCATATACATAATGCAAGAGAAGGAAAGATGTAATTGAACGCGATATAGAAAAAGTTAAAAAAAAAAAAAGAAATTACTAAACCATCTTTTTCCTCCTTATTATTCGTGTCTTTTCTACCATTTAATACCCGACGTATTATTTTGTTCTCGTGTTTCTATTTTATCAATGATTTTAATCCAATAATTTTACGTAGGATTTTGATATCCTAGTTTGATCCAACTTTAATGTACATCGAGATAGAAAGAAAAAGAGAGAGAGAGAGAGAGAAATTGTATAGAATTGATGATACAAACACTAAGATTAATTATGTTATTATGTGTCTATGTGCTATTACGTAGCTTCCAAATGATATAATAACAACCGTCCCTTCCCATCAACATTCCCGAGAGATACTTAAAACAACTATAATTCAAACCGAGGTTACATGAGACTAGCTCGAATATAATTTGAACATAGAATTATCAATAGAAATTGTATGAATATCCGTTATAATCATTGCACCGCGACATCTCAATTTTCTTCCCATTTCGCGCAGCTTAATAATAATTAAAATCAAATAGAATATTAAATACGACGAAACCCTAAAAAAAAAAAAAAAAATATAGAAGTAAAAGAAATAGAATATTAAACACGACAAAACACTAAAAAAATAATTAAACAAAAACCGATAAAAAAAAAAATAATAAAATAAGAGAAAAAAGCGAAATTACATTCGCGAGGGAAGAAAGTTACGTGAGAAAAAGGGGGGCAAATAGTCGTGTGCAGGAAAGGGAGGGAAAAAGGAGAGGATCGCAGAGGTGGAATGAGGCAACATATCAGAACGACTATCTATCGCTGCCTTTTACGCTAATTGATAAATCGTGTTACGTTAATGAATGGGGCTGGCACAGCGGTCCTACGGTTGTAGGGAAATGGGAAGGGAGGGAGGGAGGGGAGGAAAAAAGGGGAAGGAGAGAGAGAGAGGAGGATTCGATATGGAGTCGCGGAGTAAGAATCGCGTAAGGATGTGATTATACACGATATGCGCCGAAATTTTTCGGCGAGTCGAGGTGGTTTCTCGTTCGACTATTTATTCCGAAATAATCGATACGACATCGCGCGGTGACATCGATAATACGCGGGATACCAGTCGCGTTAATGCAATTTGGAGATTTGCATTTGCGACACGCGTCGCAGAACGCGATTATCGCTCGAAAAACGATAATTTCGATAAACGTCAAACGTATCAAAATCTCATCTCGCACATTCGGCGGCGAGAAATCGTGCGAGATAAAAATATCAGCCAGCAAATTGGTCGAGAGAGAGAGAGAGAGAGAGTCGAGATGATTTATTAATTCGATTAAAGCTCTTATAAGAGAAGCGTATCGTACATATTTGATCTTGATCGCACGGATGCATTATTTTTATATACTGCATCATATCACGCGAGGCTCTTTGATTGTTCACGAGCTGCGGATTACATCGTCTATTACAGATTTATACCAACTAAATGCTTTTCTCACCGGTACGTCATATGTCATTCGCAGATCAGCTGATCGGTTAAGAGAGGCGCGAATGCGACCGAAAAATCGAGAGAAATCTTTTGCTCGCAGTTTAAACGCCGCGATGGCGGCCATCGAGTAATAAAGCAATACATTAGCCTAATTGACGTCCAATAAGCCGAAAGATAATAATCCTACTTAATGGTGGCGCGCATACATCGAAAATCGCGCCAATCATTAAACCTCGCGGCAATTATTTCCCGTTATCACGATCGTTATTGTAACGTAGAGAGACGCGTTATTTCGATTCCGGTGGACCTTTATAATTTTTGTATCATCGGACGAAATTAAACTGACATTACAGAATTAAAGTATCCTATACCGCTTTTATCAGTTAGATTTCGATTATTATTCAGATAGCATGAAGCACGGAGTGTATTATTCAGAGCAGAGCAATCTGCTAAGCATTTTGCTTAGAGTATGATTAAATATTTCAGACAGTGTAATTATTGAATGCTGCTTCAGTATTTACGATAACGTAATATGAATATTTAAGAGATAGCCCATTTTGCCCATAGTTTAATAAAAAGGTGCCATATATTATTGCGGTATCAAACAAAATTATAAATTATGATAATTAAGAATTAAAATGTTCTATCGTGCGTGTGCTGCGAATATATAAATAATTTTATACATAATATACGTATATTAGACACTAAAAAGAAAAAGTTTGTTAACTTGATTAAACTTTTAAACTAAATATTGTATTATTTTGATGATTGATAATAGAAAAATATAACAAAATGTATATTTGACTTATAAATAGTAATTTAGTTGAAAGGTTGAAAGTCAAGTTAACACTTTTTTTTCAGTGTACATAATATTATTCAGAATGATCAAGAATAAGTGTTCCATCGCGCGTGTGCTCATATATATATATAACATAAATAATTTAATACATAATACATATGTTATAATAATCAGAACGGAGACATCTCCTAAGCATTTTGTTTAGAAAACAACTGAATATTTCAGACAGTGCAATTATTGAATATTGCTCTTCAATACTTACGTAATATACCTGTTTAAAAGATAACTCATGTGTTCGCATCAAGAAAATTAAATTATGATGCTCAAGAATAAGTGTTCTATCGCACGTGTGCTGCGATATATTATATATCATATAAATAATTTAATACATAATATACATTATATATATTATTCAGAACAGAGTAATCTGTCAAGCATTTTGCTTAAAATATCATTGAATATTTCAGACAATGCAATTAATCAAAGTCACTTCGATATTTGCGATAACGTAATTATTTAAGAGATAACTTATTTTGCCCGTTAAGAAGAAAGTATCATAGATTATATATATATATATATATATATATATATATATATATATATTCGTATAATGAATTAAATTATGATAAAAACATAAGAACGAAAGTATCCTATAGTACGTATGTTCATATATATATTATACTCCATAATATAAATATATATTATTAATAATATAGATATAATATAGTAATACATTATATATTATTATAATATATTCTATATTATTTAATAATAATATATATTATTTAATACATGTTTTATTAATAAAATATTTATATATAATTATTATTATTTATGTATCATATATTATGTTATATATAATGTATATTATATATTATTCAAAAACGGTGTATGTGAAGCGTCTCATTTCTATTACTTATTTTTATTATTTTCTATTTTCTATCATTTTCTCTATTTCTATTATTTTTATTCTACACTGTGAAAACAAATTTGTTAATTCGACTAAATCGTTCAACTCAAAATATTATTTTGTAAATTATAATCTACTATTATTAAATAAATATATTAGATATTATAAGTATATTATAAATAATCTATTTTTTTATTTTCTATTTTCTATTTCTATTCTATTATTCTTGTTCTACACTAAAAAAATTTGCTAATTTTACTAAATCGTTCAACTCAATATTATTTTGTTAATTGTAATCTATTATTAATAAATAAATATATATTATATATTATAATTATATTATATATTAAATATATTATAAAAATAATCTATTATTTTCTCTTTCTATTATTTTCTATTTTCCATTTTTATTATTCTTATACTACACTGAAAAAAATTTTGTTAATTTGACTAAATTGTTCAACTAAATATTATTTTGTTAATTGAACAGATATGTTTAATTAACAAAATAGTAATTTAGTTGAACAGTTTAGTCAAGTTAATATATTTTTCGGTGTATATTTCTTCAACTATCAAGAACTCTAATACTATTAAAACTAAAGTCAGAACTTTTACTTATTTATGAAATGAGACATCAGCCGCCAGCTTCACACCGCTACTGGAATGTTATAGAATAAACAAACGTTTCTCACTCACTGATACGTGTCATAGAGTTGTAGATTAATCTGAAAACAAAATATTTAAATTATACATGTATATATGCGTGTATGTATATATATAATGTATGTTATAAATTTATTTTGTATACCTTATAGTTGTCTCGCTGTTGCCCGATGCCTCCCAAGGCCTCCTCCTCCTCTCTTTGGTCTTTCGTAGCACTCACGATCCTCGCGGAAACAGGAATAATTATGATTGCCTGACATTTTTTATACGGCACTCCCGACGCACGAGACTATACGGCACTCCCGACGCGACGCGTGAATTGCACGCGTATTTCCCGTTACATTATACATAAGAACGATACGAAAATTAATCAAACGAAGCACATGATTCGGCACTCGCGGTCAGACTTGCACAGCTTATTAGTAATACCTATAATGACAAATACATATATTAGATCGTCGATTCATTTTCCCAAATAGTCAAGATATTACAATTTTTTTTGACATACCGAGAACACCCCAAAGATTCGGAGATTTCTGAATTGATGATCCATCGCCATAAAGATGACTCCAGGTTCCACGGAATATAATCCAGGTGCACCAGCTTTCTCCTGCGGACAGTTCGCAAATACAATATTAATTGTTAAAATGCAATCTTATTATTTTTTGCATTATAATATACATGATATAAATAACAGATATAATAATATATATTCAATAAATATATATTTACTAATATTTTATTTAATTATTTTATATTATTTTAATTTTATTATTATTTTATATATTTTATATCATTTATATAATAATTTTAATTATAAATTATTAATTATTAGAATAATTATTCTAAGCAAAATATGTTTGATAAATTGCTCATTTCTAAATAAATAAAAATGATATATAAATATATTAATAAATTAGTAATAATAAAATACTTAAACTATTTTTCATTATTTATTATTAATATATTATTAATTTATATATATATATTTTTTATTCAGAAACCATTTAGCAAGCATTTTGCTTAAAATCGTAGTTTTACACTCCATAACAGGATAGTCGTAAAAAGATTTCCTATCTGTAATAATCAGCTGTTCAATCGTCGACTCATTTTCCCAAATAGTCAAGGTATTACATTTTTTTTGACATACCAAGAACACAATAAAGATTCGTAGACTTCTGAATCGATGGTCCATCGTCGTGAAGATGACTCCAGGTTCCAGGGGATATAATCCAGATGCACCAGCTTTCTCCTGGACAGTTCGCAAATACAATATTAATTATTAAAATGCAATCTTATTTTTTTGCAATCATGTGCTTCGTTTGATTAATTTTCGTATCGTTCTTATGTATAATGTAACGGGAAATACGCGTGCAATTCACGCGTCGCGTCGGGAGTGCCGTATAGTCTCGTGCGTCGGGAGTGCCGTATAAAAAATGTCAGGCAATCATAATTATTCCTGTTTCCGCGAGGATCGTGAGTGCTACGAAAGACCAAAGAGAGGAGGAGGAGGCCTTGGGAGGCATCGGGCAACAGCGAGACAACTATAAGGTATACAAAATAAATTTATAACATACATAATATAAATAACAGATATAATATATATTCAATAAATATAAGATCTGTTCGTTTTGGCTACACTGGTCACACTAGTTCAGAGGTTGTCTTTTTGCTCGACATTGGAAAAAAAAGATAACCTCTGAATTAGTGTAGCCAGTGTAGCCAGTGTAGCCAAAACGAACACACCTAATATATATTTATTAATATTTCATTTATTTATTTTATATTAATTTAATTTTATTATTATTTTATATATTTTATACTATTTATGTAATAATTTTAATTATAATTATTATTAATTATTAGAATAATTATTCTAAGCAAAATATGCTTGATAAATTTCATAATCAGCTGTTCGATCGTCGACTCATTTTCCCAAATAGTCAAAATATTAATTTTTTTTTTGACATACCAAGAACACAATAAAGATTCGGAGACTTCTAAATCGATGGTCCATCGTCGTGAAGATGACTCCAGGTTCCAGAAGATATAATCCAGATGCACCAGCTTTCTCCTACGGACAGTTCGCAAATATAATATTAATTATTCACAAATACAATATTACAATATTAATTATTAAAATGCAATTAAATTATTTATATAGAAATATTCCAAAAAGTGTAATATTACTTCAATATTTGAGATTTCGTAATATATTTATGAGATAACCTATACTTTACCTGTTGAGAATAAAAAAGTGCCGCAGATTATCGCATTTTCCGGATCAAGTATGTGAAGGGTAGAGAACGATCGTGCTCTGCGGACACGCCGAATATCCATTCGTCAACCAGTGCGTACCATCGCACGTCTCGTACGCAGCAGGGGAGAGTTAACGCACAGCAAGGGCGCTGCCCTCTGAACTTGGAAGGATTCTTCAATTCGTGCGAGTAGTAAATCGTCCCGATTTCCACGATTTCTCGATGATCCGTTCGTTATTCGTCGCTTTTTTCTCCCATCTGAAAAAAAAAACAAAGATCAATTCGCGATCAAGTGGAACAGAGATCCTCTGCTCGACGAAAGAGAGGTAGCCGATATCTCTTTATCGCGATCGAACGTCCACCAGGATCCCCGGCTTTTCCTCGTGAATTACGCGTTTTTTTTCCTCCTTTCGATCGCGCGGGGGATCAGATTGCAAGAGACTTAGTCGCCGAAAATCGCTCGGGGTAACTTGTGTTCCCAAACTTCGAATTTGGGGTTAGTACGTCCTTAAACTCTGCCAAAGGGTCGCCGCTTTATCGCGACTTTATCGTGGTTTTACACTCCATGACAGGATAGTCGTAGAGAAACTTGCTATCTGTCATAATCAGCTGTTCGATCGAAGACTCATTTTTCCGAATAGTCGAGTTTTTTTTTACATACCGAAAACACGATAAAAATTCGGAAGATCTTTGGATCGATGGTCCATCGGCGAAGATGACCCCAGGATATAATCCAGATGCGCCATCCTTCTCTCCTACGAACAGTTCACAAATATAAAATATTGATTATTATAACCGATTACGATTAAATACGATTAAAAATTATCCGCACTTCAACAAACATTTGCAGGAGGAATTAATCGTCGAAACGAGAAACAGATCTACGTCGCGTTAATCGATCGCCCGTATATGTGCATCACTTCATGGCGATACTCCTGGCCCTTCGCGATCACCGACGAACTCCGAAGAAATGACAGCTTCGTTTTGACAGCTCGCTCTCCCGCGACGCGTTCTTACGTCACCCGCGCGCAATTAACGCAATATGCCTCAATTATTACTTTACCCGATCCGATTTCTTTATTTTCCCGCACGAAGAATCCTCTCAAAGGTTCATCCACCGTCGTAGACCGTTGACTTGTCGATTCAGGTCTGCCAACCTTGTTTTCGTACTCGCCACGCGCCGCGGTACAACCTAGCGTTACGAAAAAAAAATGTGAAGTTGGCAACAAGGGACGAAGGCGCCAACCGACCTTCTCTCAGCCAATCAGGAGCGAGAAGAAATCCTTCGTCTTCGCGTCCTTCTGACGCTCCGAAAAAATGGCTACAGGCCATTTTTTCGCCATTTGCAAAATTATCAAAATGCTATTACGACGATCGCGATTTACTCGCGATGCTCGATTATTTACTCCGCGAGCGCCGACTGTCATTCGAATGCTTTCAGCAGGTAGAAACGTCGCTTACCTCTCGGAGACGATGATCCTCGCTCTCTCATCACACTCGCGATATTTTATTCTCGAAATATATATACTGTATATAGGGCGGATTTATTGTCGCGATCGCGAATACGACGAGATATCACGATCGATCGCGCGAATCAGGATAATCAGGATCCTGGGATGATCGTCCTTCGGTCGCCTCGACATCCTCGACGCGAATATTCGACCCGGAACGAGAGCGCGATGACCTTGTGGAGCAATGGCGTCGAAGGACAAAAATAGCGAAAGAAGACGATGCTTCTCAAGTCGCGTCAAGTTGCGTCAAGTCGCGTCAAGTCCTGCAGTTTCGCGCCTGGTCTCCTTCGTCCCCGATTTCGAGCCGTTTCGTCGTGATATTTATACTTACCTCGGGCACGCGACGCTGCTTCGGGTACAAAGGGCCTCGGAGACAGTGAAAGTAACGCTGCGTCCTCTTCTCGGTTCAAACTCAACCGTTAGTTAACTTGCAGCAGGATGACCACTAAAATTTATCGTTAGATGGAGCACCATTAGATTTTTTTGCGTTGGTCGTCTGCAAATGATTGTAAGTGCAGCTTAAGACCGCGGATTTCAAATCGCGTTTTTAACAATTAGTTTTTGTTATTTTATTATTATTATTTTATTATTATTATTATTATTATTATTATTATTATTATTTTATTTTTATTATTTTATTATTATTATTTATTATTATTTTTATTATTATTATTTTATTATTATTATTTTATTATTATTATTTTATTATTGTTATTTTATTATTGTATTTTATTATTGTTATTTTATTATTATTATTTATTATTATTATTCTTTCTTTAGAAAGGCATTTTAACTGAATAAATTTAATTTTAATCAAAATATTAAAGCCTCTTTTCCGCGATGCTGGTTGGTTACAGTTTTGTAGTTTGCGATTAAATTTAATATTATTTTAATTCGCTGAGTTCTTATTATGCACATAATTTTATGTTATGGTATGTATTTATAGTCCGATCTTTTATATTTAAGATCGTCTTAAGTCTGATCAAAAGTTGACTTAAGATCCCGTTCAACCAATCAAATATATGGCTACGTGGCGTCTTAAGCTCGGACTGAAGATATGATCTTAAATATAAAGTCGGACTATGAATACGGGCCTATGTTATTGAATTTTTATTATATGTGTATAATTTTAATTCACCGAATTACTATTATGTGCATAATATTAATTCGCTGAATTTCTATTATATACAATTTTACATAATAGAAATATGGCGAATTAAAATTATGTGCATAATAGAATAATTAAAAAATTAAAATTATGTATACAATAAAAAATAAAAAATTAAAATAATGTGCATAATAAAAAATTGGCGAATTAAAATTATGTTTACAATAAAAATTCGGCGAATTAAAATTATGTACATAATAGAAATTCGGTAATGAAAATTAAGTACATAATTGAAATTCGGTGAATTAAACGTATGTACTTGAAAACTCCCGCGCGTAGTAATACATGAAATCGGCCGATTATGACGTGACGTCACGACGCCAACGCCGCCACCCTTCAGTGCGAGTCCAACGGCGGAGGTGTGAGGTACATATCGCGGAGTGCTCCACATCTCGTCTGGATTTCGCGCGAGTAACGCGAATAAACGGGAGTGCAAGTCCGGGAGTGTCGTGTTTCGACGCGATGGACCGAACAATCTCTCGAAGAGCATCCGGGCGTCGACGGGGACCCGGAAATCTCGGAGGATCGCGAATTCTTGGGCAGGACGAAAGGGCGCTTAAGATATCGTTTTCGTCTGTATTTTGACATGTACAGTGACTCTCGGTATTTCGGTATTATCCACTTGACGAGGAGTGATCCGCGAGTGATCCAGCATCTCCAGGATGCCCGAGTATCGGAGAAAATGTGCGAGAATTCATCGAAATTGGCGATTGAAATTATGGGGGAGTGGCGACGACCGATGCTTGAGATATTGTGATACCGAGCCTCTCCGCGTCACAACGAGGTGGCGCGCAAGTGTCAATTCGCCATGACATTTTTCGTTCATTTCGCGATGTCACGAAATGCATTCGCGAGTGATCTTATTTTTTTCGTATCGTCCGTTCATTTCGAAGTGTATCTGTGTGTAGTGAAGTGTGATAAATAATTATTGCAAATAATAGAAAAACAGTGCAGTGATTAGTGTATGTGCCAAACCATATGGGATTATAGCAGAGTAGCAGTAAGTGGAACATTAAAGGGGATATACTTAAAGCAGAGAGGTTAGACTCAACGCAATGTGAGTTTATTTTTTGTTTGTTACATTGTTCGGAAAATAATGATTGACTTTTATTTTTAGGAAAATAAATTATATTGCGTTTATACATATTTAATATAATTTAGAAATATAAAAAAATTTTTTTGACATATTAAAATAAAAATATATACATATATTACTATAATATTAATGCTTGAATTGAAAGTATTTTGTTAATAATAAATTTAAGAAAATATTAATAACGTAAAATACGTAATTTTAAGTGAATGTAGAAAATGAAATTAATATTAATTTGAAATAAAGAAATTTAAGATTAATAAAAAAAATAATAAAATAATATAATGAAAAATTTTAGCAATAGTGTGTGTAAAGATTTATAAATTAATACATAAATTTATTTACAAATTTAACGCTTATCTTATGATAAATGATAAAAAATTAGATTAATTTTACAGTTAGCAACTAACAACAAATTAATTTTGTTTATTATTTTCCGAACAATCAAGTTTACGTATGACTTTTAATTATGTTTTGCCTATGTCTTTTAATTAGATTAATTTGTCTTTTTTCACGTCTCTTTCGAATTTATATAATACATTTATATACAGCTATTTATTTATTAAAGAGCAAATGGAAATAAGTGTTTTAAATTTGACTTTTGATGTACTTAATATTTATGCTACCGGTGCACTTGATGTGGCTATTAAAATGTTTGTGTCTCTCTCTATAATTATATATTGTACCTCTTATTGAGTTTCCTAAAATAATTTATTGATGCAGATTACACGTAATCAAAATAATATTTGAAATATAAGATGTACAGTATTGTTGCTATAAGACTATTTAAATTAGAAAATACTATTCGTTATATTATAATCCAAATTAAATTTTTTAAATTATTTATATATTATAAAATAGAAAAATTATTTATTCCATGTATTTAAAAAATATGAAATAAAAAATTTTTTTAATTTTCAGAGAAAATTTTATAATTAAAATACATTGTTATCGAGATTGTTGTAATACTCTGGAAAAAAATAGAGAGAGAGGTATCCATACAATTTTCTTCGACTAATTATCTACGAAATGTAATATTTCTGCCATTCTGACTTCGCAACATTTCATTCTTATTTGTTCGAGACACCGTGTAGGCGTCGAGAAAGAAAATGTTCGTTCTCAGAATAGCAGATGAAGAGAATTGACGTCGTTTGAATTTTTCTACTACTTGTTAGAGTCATTGCTCGAATGCTGCGCTATTATAAATTAAAATATAATCTGTATTTACAGAATAAATTATATATCACAAATTCGAGAGAAATTGAAAAAAGGCAAATTAAAGAAGTTTTGAATTTGATCAGATTTCAATTTTCTGCAATCGCGATTGTCTTGCAATCGCAAACTAAACCTGTATTGTGATTTATTACATATCTGATTCGAATTCAATATTGTATAATAACACATTTGAATTATATAATGAATTATATACATTTGAATAATATAATGAAGCTGAATATATATTATATTAAAAATCTATGTAATTATTTAAATGCTTAAATAAGCATTAAAATTTTTTTTTATTTTCTGGGTGGGAATTATTACAGTGACTTCTCTTTTTTTTAATTAACTACTTTTTAAATAAAAATTAATATTAGGAAAAATAAAACTAACTTGAGGAAAAATTATACTAATAGGAAAAATAATACTAATCTTAGGAGAAATGATACTAATATTAGGAAAAAGAAATTTAATATTAGGAAAACCAAAACTAATATTATGAAAAATAGAATTAATATTAGGAAATATAATACTAATATATTAGGAAAAATGTATTTTTGGTAAGTGTTTTATCGACAAAATATGAGGTTAGAAAAACTATAAATCTATTTATTAGTTATACGGATTGTTTTTTACCTGAAATTAGAACGCTGCGCTCTTAATATTAATACTTTAATTTATACAGAAAAAAGATTTATCTATTCGTATAGTTTCATATATCTTATTCTTATTCTTCTGTTCTTAGAAA